AATGGATAAGAAAACATGACCCACACATATGCTGCCTACAAGAGAACCACCTCAGAGCCAAAGAACTACACAGATTGAAAGTAAAGGGATGGAAAAAAATATTCCAAGCAAATGGACATGAGAAAAAGGCTGGCGTTGCCATGCTTGTATCAGACAAAGTAGATTTCAAAGCAAAGGCCATAAAGAGAGACCCAGAGGGGCACTTTGTCATACTTAAAAGAAGAATCTATCAAGAAGACATCAACATTGTAAACTTATATGCTCCCAATAGAGGAGCCCCCAAGTTTATAAGGAAATTGTTGGATGACTTCAAAAAAGATATAGACAGCAACACACTGATAGTAGGGGATTTCAACACCCCACTGTCAAAAATGGACAGATCTTCCAAACAAAACATTAATAAACATATCATGGCGCTGAATGAAACACTGAATCAAAGAGACTTAACTGACATATATAGAACCTTACATCCCAAAGAAGAAAAATACACATTCTTTTCAAATGCTCATGGCAGTTTTTCAAAGATAGACCACATGACAGGACACAAAGCAAGCCTCAGCAAATTCAGGAAAATTGAAATAATACCGAACTTTTTCTCAGACCACAAGGCCTTGAAACTCGAAATCAACCTCAAAGAGAAACTTCAAAAACTTGCAAACTCATGAAGACTGAACAGTACACTATTAAACAATGAATCGGTCAATAATGAGATAAGAGAAGAAATCAAAAAATTTCTGGAAACAAATGAAAATGAACAGACAACGGTCCAAAACCTATGGGACACAGCAAAGGCACTCCTGAGAGGGAAGTTCATAGCAATACAGGCTTACCTTAAAAAGAAAGAAACATTTCAAATAAAAGACCTAACACGACAACTTCAAGAACTGGAGAAACAACAACAAATAAATCCCAGAGCAAGTAGAAGGAAGGAAATAGTCAAGATTAGAGCAGAACTGAATGACATAGAGACAAAAAGAACAATTCAGAGGATCAACCAATCCAGAAGCTGGTTCTTTGAAAAGATAAATAAAATTGACAAGCCATTAAGCAGACTCATCAAGACAAAAAGGAAGAGGACCCAAATTGATAATATCAAAAATGAAAGAGGAGAAATAACAACTGATACCACAGAAATACAAATGATCATCAGAAACTATTATGAACAATTATATGCCAAGAAATTTGAAAATCTTGATGAAATGGACAAATTTTTAGAAAAGTATAATCTTCCAACACTGAAGGAGGAAGAAACAGAAAGCTTGAACAGACCGATAACAGCTGGGGAAATTGAAGCAGTAATCAAGAAACTCCCAGCACACAAAAGCCCAGGGCCAGACGGTTTCCCAGGAGAATTTTACAAAACATTTAAGGAAGAGCTAACCCCTGTCCTTCTCAGACTATTCCAAAAAATCCAAGAGGAGGGAAGACTCCCAGACTCCTTCTATGAGGCCAGCATCACCCTGATCCCAAAACCAGATAAAGACCCTACAAAGAAAGAAAACTACAGGCCAATTTCGCTGATGAACATAGATGCTAAAATCCTCAACAAAATATTGGCAAACTGCATCCAGCAATACATTCAAAAGATTATCCACCGCGATCAAGTGGGATTCATCCCAGGGATGCAGGGATGGTTCAATATACGCAAATCAGTAAACGTGATACAGCACATCAATAAAAGACAAGACAAAAACCACATGATCATCTCAATAGATGCAGAAAAAGCATTTGACAAGGTACAGCACCCATTTATGATCAAAACACTCAGCAAAATGGGAATAAATGGGGCATTCCTCAACGTAATAAAGGCCATATATGGAAAACCTACAGCTAATATCATACTCAATGGGCAAAAACTGAAAGCTTTCCCACTAAGATCGGGAACACGACAAGGATGTCCGCTCTCACCGCTTCTTTTCAACATCGTATTGGAAGTCCTAGCCACAGCGGTCAGACAAGAGAAAGAGATAAAAGGCATCCAAATAGGAAAGGAGGAAGTAAAACTATCATTGTTTGCATTGTGTACATAGAGAACCCTGTAGACTCTACCAAAAAACTCCTCAACCTAATAAGTGAATTTGGCAAAACAGCAGGATACAAAGTCAACATTCAGAAATCAAAGGCGTTTTTGTACACCAGCAATGCAATAGAAGAAGAAATCAGAAAAAATATACCATTCGATATAGCACGAAAAAACATAAAGTACCTAGGGATAAATTTAACCAAAAACACAAAAGACCTGTATGCAGAAAACTATACAACATTGAAAAAAGAAATTAAGGAAGACACAAATAAATGGAAGCATATACTGTGCTCATGGATTGGAAGAATTAATATCCTCAAAATGTCCATACTACCCAAAGCAATTTATAGATTCAACGCAATCCCTATTAAGATACCAATGACATATTTCACAGAAATAGAACAGACACTTCAAAAATTTATATGGAACCATAAACGACCCCGAATAGCCGCAGCAATTCTGAGAAAGAAACACAAAGTAGGAGGGATCACAATACCGGACATCAAACTCTACTACAAAGCCACCATACTGAAAACAATCTGGTACTGGCACAAGAACAGACCCATAGACCAGTGGAACAGAATAGAAAGCCCAGGTCTCTATGGCCATCTAATATTCGACAAAGAGGGCAGAAGCATAAAATGGAGCAATAACAGCCTCTTCAACAAATGGTGTTGGGAGAGCTGGACGGCTACATGCAAAAAATTGAAATTGGATCATCAGCTGACACCATCCACAAAAAGAAACTCAAGATGGATAAAAGACTTAAATATAAGTCGCAATACCATCAAAGTCCTCAAGGAGAACATTGGCAGGAAACTCTCAGATATCCCATGCAGCAATTTTTTCACTGATATGTCTCCTAAAGCAAGGGACATAAAGGAAAGAATAAACAAGTGGGACCTCATCAATATAAGAAGCTTCTGCATGGCTAAAGAAAACATCAGCAAAATGAAAAGGGAGCCAACCGTATGGGAAAATATATTTGCTAATGATACATCACATAGAGGTCTGATCTCCAAGATATATAAAGAACTCACTCGACTCTACTCCAAGAAGACAAACGATCCAATCAAAAAATGGGCAAAGGACCTGGGCAGATGCTTTTCCAAGGAGGAGATACAGAGGGCCCAGAGGCATTTGAAAGGATGCTCAGCATCACTAGCCATCAGAGAAATGCAGATCAAAACCACCATGAGGTACCACCTCACACCGGTCAGAATGGCCATCATAAACAGATCCACAAACAACAGGTGCTGGCGAGGCTGTGGAGAAAAGGGAACCCTAGTACACTGTTGGTGGGAATGCAGACTGCTGCAGCCACTATGGAAAGCAGTGTGGAATTTCCTCAGAAAGCTGAAAATGGAACTGCCTTTTGATCCAGGGATTCCCCTGCTGGGACTATACCCTGAGAACAACAAAACGCCAATACAAAAGAACCTATGCACCCCAATGTTCACAGCAGCACAATTTACAATAGCCAAGTCTTGGAAGCAACCTAAATGCCCATTAGTAGATGACTGGATCAAAAAATAATGGTACATATACACAATGGAGTACTACGCAGCAGAAAGAAAAAAAGAAGTACTAAACTTTGCAACAGCATGGATGGAACTGGAGAGCATTATGCTAAGCGAAATAAGCCAGGGGGCGAAAGACAAATACCATATGATCTCACCTATAAGCGGAACCTAACCAACAATGCAAAGATGCAAGGAAAATATGACCAGCAACACTGAAAGGAAATCAACAGAGACAAGAGAGAAGGGGGGGGCAGGGAAAGGGAAGGGAAGGGGAAAGTCAAGGAACATATAGCAAGGACTCATGGACAAAACCAAAGGGGAAGAGCTGAGGGAGAGAAGGTGGGAGGGGGCAAGGGAAAGAGGTGGGGGGGAGGCAGAGACAAATGTATTTAAAAAGTAAATAAATTGGAAAAAAAAAAAAACCATGTAATTTCACTCATATATAGGATATAAAACTGAAAGCAACAAACAAACAAACATGAAAAACAAAAACTCACAGGCACAGACAGTATTATGGAGGTTATCAGAGGGAAGGGGTGTTAGTAAAGGGTAATGGGTGTCAAATATATAATGCAGAAGATTTGATTTTGGGTGGTGGACATACAATGTAATATACAGATGATGTATCATAAAACTGTATACTTGAAAACTACATGATTTTATTAACCAATCTTATCCCACTAAATTTAATGAAAAACATAACATAAAGACGACTGTGGAGCTAGTTTAAAAAAAAAAAAAAACAGAATTGAGGGACAAGACCTATCATCTGAAGTTTTCCTTTCCTTCTCTTTCAATGTCTTTTGAGTTTTTGCTCTGGGAGATAAGCTTGAAAATACGTCACAGTTTTAACCACACTCAGTTTATCTTTAGTATTTAACTGATATTTTACATATGTGTCTGTCATCTTCATGACTCCTAAGCTCAGAGCAAACCATTCAATTTTGCATTTCAGCTCCACCTGAGCACTTCAGTCAGTGTCTTACTATATCAGGCACTCAAAAGTGCCTATTTTTAAGCAAAAGTTTCAGTTTACATACCAGGGTTATGTGCATATCAGGGCTGCACCTGCTGAATTATCCTGACATATTTCTACTCTGTTAAATCATAATCCACTTGGTAGAATACACTGTACAGTACATTTTCATTTAGTCAATTTATAGGAGTAAAAATTAAGCCAGTGATTCTTAATCTGGGGCCCATGCTTCTCTGAGGTATCCATTAATCCCCTGAAATTGCATATACAATGTTATATAAATGTATGTATGTTCATTTTTCTTGGGGACTCCTCAGTGTTCAGTTATCAGAGTCTATAAACCAAAAAAGAAACAAGGTACAACATAAGTTTCTCATGCCTGAGTAAAATTAAACAGGGAACTGCCCTCAGGAAGCCCAACAGAGTCCTGCACTTCCCCACCACAGTGTTAATTCATCTTAGGAGAGAGGGGGTGTACCTCTTTGTTCCTCTCCTGTCTGCCTTGTGGCTTCCCCTTTGATCCGAGCAGCCAGCTCATCAGCAAAGGTTGTAGGTCTTTTCTACAAGCAGAAGAGGACAAAAGAATCACTTTTTATAACATATAAACTAGTACAGTTTACTTTTGAATACTGTAATTTTCCAAATACCAAATTTTATAAATAATCATAAAGAAACTGAAATGAGAAAACAGGGTTTAACTATATGAATTTAAACGTATGCTCCCTATATACAGACCATCTGAGAAAGAGGACTCTGTTCCTTTGAAGGGAGATGCTCTGTATTTTGTTTTCTTTTTTTTTTTCATTTTAAAGAGCTAGATAAGAAAACTACTATGTATTCCTTGGGATGAGGGAGGAGGAATATTAAGATCTTAAAATTCTGAAAGTGAATATATTTTGAATGATATGACTTGTAAAATTGTAACATTTGAAAGAGAAAGTGATATTTGCAAGGCAACTTTGAATGCCCAACCATTTGTTTCAAAAGTAAATGAAAATACAAATATGATATAAAATAAGACGATTACAGTTATTAAAAAAAATAGTAAGAGGAATGAGTTTTAGGTACCACTTCTAAACTTTGCCAAGAGATAGCAAGTATATTGTTTCTTACAGGTCTAGTACTTCCTTCAATGTCCTCAGTATCTTCCTCCTCCTTCTCAGAGTCAGCGAAAATGTCACAACCATCATCATCCTCTTCTTCATCACTTATTTGTGCAGTGTGCTAAGAGTATAAACCACGAGATTAGATCTATTAAATATGGTCATTGAGCTAAAACAAGAAATACTGCTACTGAGTCTTTAGGCAAAACAGTAACAGTCTGTTAAATGGAGCAAGTTATGAAGCAGTACATATATTAGAACAAATAATATGCAACATTTATATTTGACACAAAAATATAACAGCAAAATGAAATATTAAAAAATCACTAGAGAAATTATTAAACTAAATATCACCTTATCTTAAGAATACTAATAAGCTACAAAAATTGAAGAGATATCCAAGGCATCCAGTGAAAAAACTGAATGATAAACTCAGTATGATACTATGCACCCGCCTTGCCCCTACACTATCTCCACAGGCACAGATATACTAGTGAAAACAAAGGAAAACATTTGGATAAGTACACTCACAGATTGTAACACCAGTTACTTCTGGAGTGTGAGAAGATGAAGATTGGAGGGCTGAAACCGTGCCAGGCCCCATGCTAAAATTTTTAGAACTCTTGAGGTTAGCTATGGTACACAAAACCAGTCAATCTCTAACAGTACAAACAAATGGTAAGCCAATGCTTTTAATCACTATACTATATTGTTTGAAAAACTGAATTTACAGATCTTAATAATAAATTCCACAGGAAAAAATGTAGCTTGATCATTAAAATTATAGAGACGAGCCACATTTGCAAATTCAACTGGGAAAATTTTAGTCCTAACCAGAAAGTACTAAATCCTTCATTTGACAGTTGAAAATTTTTATGAAAAAATATTTCCCAATTAGGAAACAAATACAAATTGGGACAATCTCTATATACGACTATACATATATTACGGTAGCAAAAATCATAATCCCAGTGCTGATGAGATTGCAGAAAAATTGTTATGCAGGATCTGTAATCTAGAATGTGCATAAAGAGCCTTTACTTTAATGCTCTACCACTTATGCCTAATGAAACAATTCACATAAGCAAAGGATTTTTATGTATGAAAATAATGAATACATCATTATCTCAAAAATGAAGTACTGAAAATAAACTATTTTCCATATACATTTAAAGACTATGACAGCATCATATGATAAACCTGTGCTTAAAAACATAGATGTTTACAAAGCAAATTACAAAAACTACTTAAAATGAGAAGGACAAAGAAACATTAATATAAAATAGCAGAAAATAAATTATGTATATATTACAAAAAGAATATATTCTTAGAAGGATACCCCAAAATTAAAACAATGATACTAAAACATTATGATTAGAAGATTTTCATCTTTTCAGTGTTAATTTTACTGCTATAGTGTCTTAAATTTTAAAGCAGGAAAGAGGGATTCAGTTTGGGTAACTGAACTTTCTTTTAGAGGTTCTATTCCCAATTTTGTTTTTTACTTTTTTCCCTAAGAAAAATTAACATAAAACATAAAGTAAAATTTTAAAAAATATATACAAGGCAGTAGTTAGCTTAAAAACATGAAATGCTTGAAGGAAAATTAGTTGTAAATATGAATAAATCCTTATTTTCAAGTAAGTTGTTCAAAAGTAATTTTACTATCTATTTAGTATATATGCTATGCCTCGATTAAGATTTAAAAATAAAACCACTTTAATACACAAGCCTTACCTGATTTTGATCATTGTCACTATGATTGGCAAAATCTTCATCTGATTCCTTTAGGGGAAAAAGGATTTGTTGTTAATAGAGGTTTTACTCAGAAGCACAGCAATAATTTTGGGTCTACGTCTTTGGGGCTCATTAACACATGGTCTTTGTACTGATTACTGGTCATCTGAAGTATCAAGGTATAGAAAAGGTGGATAGTTGACAATATCACCAAGCGCTGTTCCAATTAACGTGTAATATTTTGTGGTTAATTAAAACATCTTTAACAATTTGTTCAGGTATCTCTGACTACTGAATTTGATGTAAGATTTATACATTTAATTAACTAAATTATCCAGTGTTGGTTTGTTATTTTATCTTTGGACTCCACTCTTTATATTCCCTTTTAAATAGGGTAACTACTTCATCAGACCCAAGAAGGGAAATCAGTATTTGCCACCAGCAATTATATAAAGATTTACATTGATGGCTAAAAGCAAAGGATTCAGCTAATGACCATCAGTTATAGCAAGGTTATTTAAAGAAAGCTTATTTCCTACTGTTAGTTGTTTTGTTTGGAGGGCTGGCTGAAGGATAGCAGGGGAAGACAATGGGAGAAGAGGAGAAGAGAGAAGTATATGCACACAATCCTATCTCCTTTTAGAAATCCACACTCAAATGTCTCTACCCTTTGCAATAATGAATATTTCCCTTTAAAGGAAGAAAGCCAGATATAACAGCAGTCAAGGTCCACAGACCCCAAGTTCCTAGAGCAAGGAGTCAGATTACACTCTGGGTATGAAGATACTAGTGGCAACAACAAAAGTAAAACAAAAGTGTATGCTTTAAGTATTCTTCTTGTCTAGAAGGTTTTATAAGAAAAGTTTCAAATCTGGGTACATTTTTCCTAAAATTATTCAAAGACAGAACTTACTCACAGATTGTATCTCAGGAAGAGATCCCACCAAAATATCTAAGCTGTCCCCCTCAAAATATAATGGTAAGAAGAGGGGAGGTGGAAGCGAGGAAAATGGTAAAAGAAATTAAAGCAGTTTTCCTTGTTTTTGATCACAAAACAATACGGAAATCCAATCCCAAGAGAAAAACTTCAGGAAATGACTTCTATCACTCTTCAAGAATTTATGAAAACAGACTGCTAATTCACAAACATGTATTTCCTTAGCCTGCTAAATGCACCCTAAGTTTCCTGCCATTCATGACCCGGACACACTACGCAGGCCTTACCTCCTCTTCATTTTCTTCTTCGCTGTCCGCAATGCTACCACATTCGCTGCCTACTGAACCTTCTATTTAAAACAAAGATAATGGTTATCACCAACACTCGTAAGAAAATGTGCTTAAGTTTCTTCTCAAAATCATAAACCACCATGTATCAGCATCTCAAAAATTTTGATAAAACTACCTATATCATTAACTGGAATTAAAAGTATCCGCACTATAGCAAGGAATGAAATATTTATATACCCTCAAAGTATCTCCCCACAAGATACTTATTACAAAAAAAATTTATTAATTACAAAGAAAAAAATTGGCCTGTACTCTTCAAAGATGTCATGGTTGTAAAAGGCAAAGAAAGCTTTTTTTTGACAACTAAATGCAGTGAGTGACCCTAGACTGGATCCTGGATCAGAGGAAAGAAATGAGTTTGTAAAGAACCTCATTGGAATGACTGGCAAAATATGACTATGACTGAGGATTAGTTAATAGTATTACATTGAGTAAAATTTCCTGCCTTTGATAATTTTAGTTTAGCAATGTAAGAGAATGTCCTTGTTCTTAGAAAATACAGAGTATTTAAGAATGATGGAACAAAACCTCTGTTTGATGTCTATCAAATATGTTTAGGAAAAAAATATGTGTATATAGAGAGAAAAAGATAAAACAAATATGGTAAAGGTTAACAACTGGTAAACCTGGGTGAAGGGCATATGGGAGTTCTTGGTACTATTCTTACAACATTAATGTGAAGTTTGAAATTATAATATTTTAAAATAAAAAGATATAGATATTAAAAGTAATAAAGTATTTGGTGCAAAGTGTACCTTCACTGGATAGCTCTCCAAGACCTACATCTTCTTGCTCCATGAACAGCTTTGACCCAATTAAATAAGGTAAAGGACGATCAATGTATAGATCCTGTAAAAAAATGTTAGAAAACAAGCCATTAAATATTTAGGTTGAAAAATAAAATTAAGTTCCCCATTTGATATCTTGTTTCATCTGACTACTCCCAAAATACTTAAACAATAAAAGTAGAGAGTAAGGAACACAACAGGATTAAAAGTCCAAAAAAAAGCAAAACAAAACACTGATTTAAAAAAAGTCAAGTCCTAGGGAAAGGTGGCAAAATGAAGATGAATCACACAAGTGCCTAGCTATATTAACAAAAGTGGCAAAAGGCTACAAAACATTTACCAGCAGTAATCAAACAGGGAAAGGGGCACAACTGCATAGCAACATGTTCAAAAGGAGGAGGACCTGGCCAGCAGAGATAGTAGATCCCTGGCCAAAGTGGGCACAGAGCTGCCTAGAGACTCTTGATGAGAGACTAGAGACAGAGGCATTGGGAGAGAACTGACGGAGTAGCCAGAGGTTCCTGGAGCAGACTCCTTCCCCATTCCACAGTCTCCATCTTGCTAAGGCAAGGCCACACCCCAGAGAGGCAGCAGCAGGAAAGGAAACCATACTCCTGCCCTCAGGGCACTCTGCACAGGACGTGCAGGCCTGGGTGCTGAGTGCAGTGCGGCCAGCAGAGATAGTAGATCCCTGGCCAAAGGGGACACAGAGATGCCTAGAGACTCTTGATGAGAGACTAGAGACAGAGATGTTGGGGAAAGAACTGAGGGAGCAGCCAACGGGTTCCCAGTACTGACCCCTTCCCCATTCTGCAGTCTCCATTTTGCGCGGGCAGGCCACACCCCAAAGAGGCATCAGAGGAAAAGGAAATAATAGCCCTGCCCTCAGAACACACTGGCCAGGCCAGGAGTTGCATGCAGGCCTTGGTGCGGAGTACAGAGCTGCCTGTGGAGATAGTAGACCCCTGGCAAAAGGGGACACAGAGCTGCCTAGAGACTCCTCAGGAAAGACTGGAGTCAGAGGCGTTGGGGAGAGAACTAAGGGAATAGCCAGGGGGGATCCCGGTACTGATTCCTTCCCTATTCCATGGTCTCAATCTTGCTCAGGCAGACCACTCCCCTGAGTGGCAGCAGCCTGTAAGTAATAAGGACACGATAGCCCTGCCCTCAGGAGGCACTGCCCCACTCTGTGGTGCCTAAGCCTGACAGCTGAGGGCATAGTGACTAGATTAACAATTGCAGGAGACAAACACAGACAGTAGATTCCTGGAAGTCTCAAACAGACGGCCTAATGTCAGACAGGGTCAACAACTGTCATCATCAGAGGCGAACTCAGAAAGAAAAGAAAAAATAAATAAATAAATAAAAGACCGGACTACTACCATAGAAGTTTAATCCACGAAGTCAGGAAATTAAGACTGATCAACTGAGGCAGAACCAAAAGAAAAGAAAAAGAAAAAAAGAAAGGACTCTCATAAATAATGGGATGGAAAAGAAACACCCCCCCCCCCACCAAATAAGGGGAAAAAGGAATCCCCACAGAGAGAACTAAATGAAATAGAGGCAAGTAACTTATCAGAGACAGAATTCAAAAAAAGGGTTATAAGGAAGTTCAATGTGCTCAGCGAGCTCAAAGAGAACTATGAGAAACCACAGGGAAACTATAAGAAACTTACTGCAAACCACATCAACCTGGAGAAGGATACAGAAACTAATAAGAGACAAAAGGAAATGAAGAATACCATTTCTGAATTGAAGAACACAGTAGAAGGAATCAAAAGCAGGGTAGATGAAGTAGAGGGCCAAATCAGCGAGCTGGAGGACAAGGTAGAAAAAAGCTCCCAGAAACAGCAAGAAATGGAAAAAAGACTAAAAAAGAATGAAGACGCATTTAGAGGAATGCAGGACAACCTGAAAAGTAATAATACCTGCATAACAGGGATATCAGAAGGAGAAGAAGAGGAGCAAGGGACAGAGAACCTCTTTGAAAAAGTAATGATGGAAAACTTCCCCAATTTGAGGAAAGACAGTCTCACAAGTCCAGGAAGCACAGAGGCCCCATTCAAGAGGAACCCAAGGAGGCCCAGTCCAAGACACATCATCATTAAAACGGCAACTATTAAAGACAAACAGAGAATCCTAAAGGCAGCAAGGGAGAAACAGGAAGCAACATAAAAGGGAGCCCAATATGGCTAGCAGCTGACTTCTCAGCAGAAACACTGCAAGCCAGAAGGGAATGCCAAGAAATAGTCCAAGTCATGAAAAGCAAAGGTTCCAAGTAATGAAAAGCAAGGACCTACAGCCAAGGCTGCTCTACCCAGCAAGGCTCTCAATTAAAATAGAAGGGGAAATAAGGAGGTTCCCTGAGAAAAGAAGACTAAAAGAATACATCTCCACCAAACTAGCACTACAAGATATACTAAAGGGACTGGTTTAAGAAGACGAAGAAAAAGAGTGAGAAAGAGAAAACACAGGCACCAATGGAAAAAATGAGTAAGTTTCTATCAATAATAACTCTAAATGTAAGTGGACTAAATGTCCCAATCAAAAGACACAAGATAGCTGAATGGATAAGAAAACATGAGTCACACATATGCTGTCTACATGAAGACCCACCTCAGAACAAAGGACCTACACAGATTGAAAGTAAAATATTGCTTGGAAAAAATATTCCAAGCAAATGGACAAGAAAAGAAAGCAGGGGTAGCAATACTTATACCAGACAAAATAGATTTCAAAACAAAGGCCATAAAAAGAGACCCAGAGGGACACTTTATAATACTCAAAGGAAGAATCCATCAAGAAGACATAAACATTGTAAACTTATATGCACCCAACATAGGAGCACCCAAATTTATAAGGAAAATCTTGGACGACTTCAAGAAAGATAGAGACAGCAACACACTGATAGTAGGGGATTTTAACACACCGCTGTCAAAAATGGACACATCTTCCAAACAAAACATCAACAAGGATATTGTGGAGCTGAATGATGCACTGAATCAAATGGACTGAACTGACATATATAAAACCTTATATCCCAAAGAAGAAAAATACACATTCTTTTCAAATGCCCATGGAACTTTTTCAAAGATAGACCACATGACAGGACACAAAGCAAGCCACAGCAAATTCAGGAAAACTGAAATAATACCAAGCATTTTCTAAGACCACAGGGCTTGAAACTGGAAACCAACCTCAAGGAGAAACCTCAAAAACTTTCAAACTCATGGAGACTGAACAGCACACTATTAAACAATGAATGGGTCAATAATGAGATAAGAAAAGAAATAAAAAATTCCTGGAAACAAATGAAAATGAACATAGAACAGTCCAAAACATATGGGACACAGCAAAGGCAGTCCTGAGAGGGAAGTTCATAGCAATACGGGCCTACCTAAAAAAGATAGAAATATTTCAAATAAATGACCTAACCCTACAACTTCAAGAACTGGAGAAACAACAACAAACATAGCCCAGAGCAGGTAGAAGGAAGGAAATAATCAAGATTAGAGCAGAATTGAATGACATAGAGACGAAAAGAACAATTCAAAGGATCAACCAATCCAAGAGCTGGTTCTTTGAAGATAAAAAAAATCGACAAGGCATTAAGCAGACGCATCAAGAAAAAAAGGGAAAGGACCCAAATACATAGTATCAGAAGTGAAAGAGGAGAAATAACAACTGATACCACAGAAATTCAAAGGATTGTAAGAAATTACTATGAACAATTATATGCCAAGAAATTTGAAAACCTCAATGAAATGGACAAATTTCTAGAAAAGTATAATCTTCCAACACTGAATGAAGAAGAAGCAGAAAGCCAGAACAGACTGATATCAGGGAGAAAAAAAAACACAAAAAAGAGAACAATAATATCCCTTAGAGGTTCACATTATATAATTTAGAAAAGTGAAGTCAGTAAAATAAGACGAGATGATAAAACATCAGAATGCTATGAAGGAGAGAGTGAACATGATAATACATGTTGGAGACCCATTCATCACACACATTAAAAACTTAAGGACAAGAAAGCACTCCACCTCTAGGACAACGTCCCATCTCCACTGCTGGAGGAAAAGCTGACTTGCACTCTGAGAGGTATGATTTTTGGCCATATCTCTTCCCTATGAAAAAATCCCGGGGGACAAGGGAGAATCACTCTGATGCTTCACACAACAAGAGAAAAGTTTCAACAGAAAACGATACAACAGCAAAAATACAACAGCAACCAGTTTATTGCAAAGAAAAGAAAATGATAATGGAGCTGTCTGCTGATTTAGAAGGCCTTCCCCAGGCCCCCTGTAACAGAGAAAGTGGTGTGTGACTTGGAATTAATAAATGTGGCCCCGGGAATACATTTCCCAGGTTCCATTGCTAACTTCTAAATCTCTACAGTAAAAAAGCAAGCCAGCAAGTGTTAACAGTGCTAAAGTATCAGTCCCAACTTGGTATGACACCCGCGAGCTCAAACTGAAAAAGAAATGTACAGCTAAATGAATGACTACAAGAGTTTGTTTTTGTGGCATGTTTCAACTTGTAGGGCACTTGAGTGTTACAAGGACTGGAAGTGATTCTGTTGTTGCCCCAATTGTCTCCTTTGCCAATTTGAGAGAACGTAATAGTAAAGCAATGAATACCTATTAGACTAATGGTCCGTTCATGCACATGCATGGCAGCATTTTTCATAATAGCCAAAACCTGAAAAGAACCCAAATATCTTTCAACACTTCTCCAGTCTCCTGCAGCACACAAGCTACAGAATCCCAGGTTCCTAACAATCTCAACCTTTCGTGAGCATTCTCATCTTTGAGACTCAATTCAAAATTCATCTTTTCCCTAATTTCCTCAGCTTAGAAGTCAATTTTCTCTCAGGGTACTTATGATGGTGACTCTCACAAATGTCTCCTCTCTCCCCACTGTGTGGTAATGCTGTAACAAGCATTTTGAGAGTAGGAACCATGCCCTGAAACTTTGCACTTCCTTAACTTGGCATGCAGCCATTGACCTAGTAGGTATTCAATCAATGCTCATGCAAAAGCAAGATTTTCTGATGGAGTCAATTTGAGAATGCTAAGTGACATGTTCACTTGCTAGAAATAAAGTCCATGTCTTAGTAATTATGTGCCCAAATAAAGTATCCAAAACACAACAGGTGTAACAATAAATATTTGAATTGCAAGTCTATTACCTTTGGTTCCAGGATCAGTTCCACCCGCTCATTAGCATCATCTTCCTCGGAGTCTGAGTTTCCTGCTTTTATATCTAGTTGTTCAAATGCACTGTCCAATACTTGTAAGCCATAGTTCACGGCCTCCTGAACTTTAGGAATCAGATCTACTTCTTTCTGTTCCCGGGTCTTCTCCTACAAAAAAATACTGTTCAGCATGGATCTTCAGTATATTGATACCACCATAATAAAACACTGTGAATGTTCTCTAAAGCCTAGACTCATGCTCCATATAGTTATGGTGACTATAGATATTTGCATAGCTGTCATTCTGGTTTTTTTCCATCTAGCCTGCGCTTTATGTGCTCTCTTGTAGCTTTCTCTTTTGCTCTGGTGCAGTGTGAAGGAGTCCTCGATTCCCTTTATGTCATGTGTTTGACCTGTTTGTCCATACCTCCTCCCTAATTTAATTAGACTTATGCTCTAATTAAAAATGCAGACTCTGATGAATGCCTTAACACAGACTTTGGAGTAAGTTTAAATCCCAAGTTTATCACTTTTAGGACATGGATCAAAGTAAAAGTCCCAGAGCTCCAGATTCATCACCTATGAAAACAAGACTATTGTGTGACAGTTCACCTAGATAGATAGACAACTTAGGTAAAAGTACAGTAAAAATGAATGGCAAGCCCTCAAATGGCACTTCACTTCCCTGCTACAAGAGGAATAAAGGGCCTGGAGTTCTAGCTTCACCATAACTGTATCCCACTATCTTTGTTTAATTAATAGGTATTTGGACAATTTTAGCAGTAAAAATCTAGAAGAAAATACTCCAGCCAGAGGTGTCATTTTTTAATTACAGTTAAAAATAATAACTGGACAATTAGAGCAATTTTATAAATTTGCTTCAAACCAAGAAAGGGTCAGTTTCATCTCTAAACTATTCTGTTCATCACCTCAAGAACAACCTTTCCCAACCACCCCAGAAATCTGTATTAAATCACCAATATATTAAAAATAGTCCACAGGTCTCCATTTCCTACAATAGCAGCTCTCAGTGACAATCCCTCATATATTCAATTCTGTCATCAATTTTAAGAAATATTGGAAAAAATGTATCAATCTCCTTCTTCACAAATATTCTAGGAAGTGATACATAATTATAGAAAGAACTAAACCATACTGTGTTGTTTTGAGGACCAAAAGGGAAAATCCTACAAGAATTTCACACTTTTATCTCAAATATGGAAGTATTTCTAACTCAGCTTTTTTGTTTCGGTTGCATCTGGTATGCTTGCTTCTAAATAGGTAACATTGTACTAAGTGTGTGAAAATGTTTGTGAAATAAATATATAGTGGCTTTTACAAAATAGTTCATTAGATACCGTCCTTTTGAAGTTGAACCTTCTCTTGGTATAACTAGATACTATTGCACATGAACAGTTAGCAAACCCCTGAGTACTATTAAAGATAGTAATATTTTTAAAAAAGGCCGGGAATAGGGAGAACTGTAGCTCGTTTCTAACATCCCCTCCTAGTCTAACAGTTTAATATATTACAAGTAATAGTTACTGATAAAGCACCAACTTTTTCAAATGATTTATATTTTCTAAATAAGTTAGAGCTAAATCAAAGCTACTCCCATAATAAACTCAGTCACATTCCATTTTGCTTTCCTCAGTGAGAGGAAAAGGATACAACTTCTGCTAGAGAGTCAAGAGCCTTTATCTAGCCTTTGGTCTGTGATGTGAGAACCCAGGAAGAATAATACAGGAAGCCACAGAGGGGAAAAAGATAGGGACTGCTGCCCCTCAGTTGCTCAGACTGATGAAGCCCTTCAGCTTCCACGTCTCCCTCCTTAACCTTCTTCTTCATAAAATAGTAGGTACATCTCCTAACTTAGAACCTTCGCTTAGGGTACTCCTTCTTACTAAAACGGCCTTAAAATCTGGACTTTCTTTCCTTAGCCAATTAACATGCTTGAAACTTTTCTCTGCCATCTTACCCTGCTGAGCCCTTTCACACCTGAACCTCCACAACAGCCAGCAGCCACGGAGCTCATGCTGTAATATCCTGTCACCCCAACTAAGACTGCAACCTTCTGAGGTCAGTCTCTACACATCAACAGCTCCTTGCAATCTTTCCAGAGTCATTAACATTCACTTCACAGTCTGCATCCTCTAACACATCCTGCAGCACTAAGAAGGAACTCCAGAATGTGTGGACTATCCAGCATTCATCTTACTGTCACTTTTAATTGGTAGGAATAAGAAGCAAAGGAGTCATGAAAGGGTAAGTTAAACAGTCTTCAGAAAACTTACTAACTACAGCCCAGCCTCTGACCTGTTTCTGTACAACCCTCGATGTAAAAATGCTTTTTATGTTTTTAAAGGGAAGGGGAAAAAGGAAAATGAATAAAAGAAAAAAGGCAAAGAAGAGACAGCCCAATGAGGCCAGCAAAACCTAAAACATTTACTGACTGGCCCTTTACAGAAAATCTCTGCTGACCTGGGCTCTATCCTTAAGCCAGAATGCAGAAACTTTACTATGTATTTCTTAATACACTAAATTTCAGAAGTAAAAGAGTTTAATTGCTGGGCTGCCTGACAGGAGCAGTCTTCCCCATTTCCCCAGTATCCATCCCCTACCAGCCACATCACAAATCTCCACCACTTTTCATCTCTAAGTCAGGAACTCAACAGAAGAGAGATATAATGCAAGTACCTGTTCTGCTTTTTCTGCCTCAGCCTTGAGAACTGGCTCCTCCACCTCTTCATCATATACGCGCTAAATGAAAGCAAGTTCATTTTTAAATGGTCAAAACATCATTTGGAATAAATCACAATGAAAGAATTCAGTATACAATTTTTTAAAAAAGGATGAATTCAATATACAATAAAGACAAGGAAGAAATAATTATTTAACAAATGGCTAAGGCTACTAATCAGGGACCAAAAAACAAAGATCAGTAGTCAGTTCACCAAGGACTAAGTTTTAAAAAACAAAGACACAATTGACTAGGAGACATGAAAAAAGTTCAATCTCATTGTTGACCAAAGAGTCACAAAAACCATAACATACCGGTCTTCACACCTTTTTGTTTAACCCAATACTTAATATTGACAGGGCAATGATACAGGTAACTTAAATGTGAGGCTGCAGAGAACATCAACTGGTAGAACTACCCACTTGGTAACAAGGGTTTTAACATTTTATGCACTAGAAATGGTAAAGGTAAAAGTTATTTTCATTCTGTTGCTTCAAATGGTTGGTAAATTTTTATTATCCTATTATATTTATATGAAAATAGATACGCCATGCTCACCAATAATTGGCCAGCAGGCCAGGCATTCTGCTGACCCATGAGCATGGACACTGCAGGCCTCTCTTTTCCAAAGAGAGCTATCACTCCAGCAACTCATGGTGATTTCCTTTGTTATTGCATTATTGTTAAAGTACTTATTGTTTTATAAACTCCCAAGGTAAAAAATGCTTGTTATAAACAGTGGGATGATAAAAATGTTCTGAAATTAGATACTGGTAATGGTTAAAAAAGTTAGTGACCATACTAAAACTCGCTCACTTGCACACTTTTAAAAAGGGTGAATTTTATGGAATGTGAATTGTATCTCAATTAAAATTTAAAAATGCACATAAATATATACAGAAGAGATAAATTTTAAAATATTTCCTTCCCTATCTCCAATCAACCCTTGGAATAACCAGTTTAAACTTGGTATGTATTCCTCTAAATTTCCTATAGCTCTCACACAAATATATACGGACATCTGCACATATTCAGAGTTCTCCCACGCTTCCTGCTTTAAAAAAATTCCACAGGTCTCTGCCCCACTTTTTCCCTTAATGTTCTCATAAGCTACTTTCTGGTCAATGCATATAGATATGACTCAATCTTCTTAATATCTGCATAATATTCTATGGTATGAACTTAACCATAATTAATCTGACAGTACCCTACTGGTAAACATTATGGAAATTTACAGTTTTTGCTCTTGTAAACACACTGCTGTAAACACATACACATATATATATTAGAACCTGGCCCTTTATTTCTATAGGCTTTCCAAAATAGAATTGACAAGTCCAAAGACAAAATTGTTTTTTAGTCTTATAGCTCCTTCCTGACTACTATCCACAAATCTGTGGTATCACACACTACCACCAACAAACAATGTATTCAAGAGGTCCATTTCCCAAATCTTTGCCAGCAGTTTTATCCACCTTTTAAAAATATCTGTCAATCTGATAAGACAGTGTTATTTTTGAATGTCCATATTTTCTGACCCAAGAATTCTACTTCTTGAAACTTAGGTCCATGAAAAATAATCATAAATGCAAACAATAAGATGCTCATGGCATCCCAATTTACAGTGGAAAATCACAAACACCAATTTGTAATTCTATGCACTTGCAGTCAAAATGCTAACAGAATTTTCTGTTACCTATCAAGATAATTCTCAGATTCACACAGGAAAGTAAAAAGCCAAGGATAACCATGCCAATTTAGAATAAAAAGAAGCCATCGGGTAAATCTTACCCTATTAAGATTTATTAGAAACTTATGGTATTTAAGAGTGTGATACTGGCACACAGCAGATTAACATAATAAAAGTCAGAGTTGAGAATTACATGTAAGCATGATTTTACATTCACATAAACACATATGCACACACACGCATTCCTATACATAAGTCAGTCAGGAAAATAACTATCCAATAAAGGTCAACTTGGGGGGAAAAAATTAGATCCATACCTCATACTACACATATGCATTTATACACATTCACAAATATATACTCCCCAGGTAAGGAGAGAAAGGCAGAGATACAAAGGAACCCTCACCTAAAATGTTTAGAGTTAAGGAAAACAATGGGGAGTTGGTGTCTTTGAAGCAAATATAGCAAAATATCAAAATCTGTAAAGCAGGATGATGCATATCATTAGTATCTGTGGTTATTATCTGTTCTTCTAGGCATACGAAATACTTCACTAAAAGTTTTGGTTTGGAAAGATTTTTAAGTATATTATGATTTAGCCATTTAGCAGAATAAGAAAAATAGTTAAGTTCACATAAGCCTTACAGAGGCATTAAATGCTTAATTAATAAAGATTATCCACCATGATCAAGTGGGATTCATTGCAGGGATGCAAGGATGGTTCAGTATACACAGACCAATAAATGTAATACATCACATAAACAAAAGAAAAGACAAAAACCACATGATTATCTTGATAGATGCAGAAAAAGCATTCGATAAGATATAGCACCAACTTATGATCAAAACACTCAGCAAAATGGGAATGAAAGGGGCATGCCTCAATGTAATAAAGGTCATATATGAAAAACCTACAGCCAACATCATACTCAACAAGCAAAAACTAAAAGCTTTCCCACTAAGATCGGGAACAAGACAAGGATGTCCGCTCTTACCACTTCTATTCAACATAGTACTGGAAGTCCCAGCCACAGTGGTCACACAAGAAAAAGAAATAAAAGGCATCAAAATTGTAAAGGAAGAAATAAAACTATCATTGTTTGGAGATGACATGACAGTATACACAGAAAACCCTGTAGATGCCACCAAAAATTTACTCAATCTATTAAGTGAATTTGGCAAAATAGCAGGATACAAATTCAATATTCAGAAATCAAAGGCATTTTGGTACACCAGCAATGAAGTAGATGAAGAAATCAGGGGAAAAAAATACCATTTCCTATAGCAACAAGAAAAATAAAGTACCTAAGAATAAATTTAATCAAGGAGGTAAAAGACCTCTATGCAGAAAACTATACAACATTGAAGAAAGAAATTAAGGAAGACACAAATAAATGGAAGCATATACCATGCTCATGGATTGGAAGAATTAATATCATCAGAATGTCCATACTACCCAAAGTAATTTATAGATTCAATGCAATCCCTATTAAAATACCAATGACGGATTTCACAGACATAGAACAGACATCTGAAATATTTATATGGAACCATAAATGACCCTGAATAGCCACAGCAATTTTGAGAAAGAAAAACAAACCAGGAGGGATCACAATACCAGACATCAAACTGTATTACAAAGCTACTATAATCAAAACAATCTGATACTGGCACGAGGACAGACACATAGACCAATGGAACAGTATAGAAAGCCCAGAAATTAGCCTATGTCTATATGGTCAATTAATATTTGACAAAGGGGGAAGAAGCATAAAGTGGAGTAAAAATAGCCTCTTCAACAAATGGTGTTGGGAGACCTGACCAGCTATACACAAAAAAATTGAAATTTGATCATCAGCTGACACCATACTCAAAAATAAACTCAAGATGGATAAAAGACTTAAATATAAGTCGTAACACCACAAAAGTCCTAGAGGAGAACACAGGCAGGAAACTCTCAGACATCCCACGCAGCATTATTTTCACTGATATGTTCCCTAAAGCAAGGGACATAAAAGAAAGAATAAACAAGTGGGACCTCATCAATATAAGAAGCTTCTGCTCGGCTAAAGAAAACATCAGCAAAATGAAAAGGGCGCCAACCCTATGGGAAAATATGTTTGCTAATGCTATATTAGGTAGAGGTTTGATCTCCAAAATATATAGAGAACTCACATGACTCCACTCCAAGAAGAAAACCGATCCAGTTAAAAAATGGGCAAGGGATCTGGGCAGACACTTTTCCAAGGAAGAGATACAGAGGGCCCAGAGATATTTCAGAGGATGCTCAGCATCACTAGCCATCAAAGAAATGCAAATTTTAACCACAATGACATACCACCTCACACCGGTCAGAATGGCCATCATAAACAGATCAACAATGGGTGCTGGCGAGGCTGTGGAGAAAAGGGAACCCTAGTACTCTTTTGGTGGGAATGCAGACTGGTGCTGCCATTGTGGAAAACAGTGTGGAATTTCCTCAAAAAGCTAAAAATGGAACTGCCTTTTGATCCAGTGATTCCCCTGCTGGGACTATACCCTAAGAATCCCGAAACGCCAACTCAAAAGAACCTATGCACCCTAATGTTCATAGCAGCACAATTTACAATAGCCAAGTGTTGGAAGCAACCTAAGTGCCCATCAGTAGATGACTGGATCCAAAAATTATGGTACATTTACACAATGGAATACTACACAGCAGAAAGAAAAAAAGAACTACTATACTTCACAATAGCATGGATGGAACTAAAGAGCATTATGCTAAGCAAAATAAGCCAGAGGGCAAAAGACAAATACCATATGATCTCACCTATAAGCAGAACCTAACCAACAAAACATAGATGCAAGAAAAATATGACCAGCAATACTGAAAGAGAAAAGAAACCAACAGAGTCAGGAGGGAAGGAGGGAGGGGTGCGTTGGGAAAGAGAAGGGAAGGGTCAAGTCAAGGAACGTGTATCAAGGACTCATGGACAAAGCCACAATGGGGAAGGAGTGAGGGAGGGAGATAGGGCAGGCAGGCAGGGGAAAGTGGTGGTGGGAAGGCAGAGACCAATGTATTTGAACAAAAATAAATAAATTAAAAAAATAAAAATAAAAACAAAAACAAAAAATAAATAATGTTAAATTTTTTTAAATGCTTATATAATAATAAACTGACATTAAGAAAAATTCAGGCTGCAAATATACACATACACAGAGTAATCTAGAAAAGGTTAAAGTTAAAAAAAGAAAGACTGGAAAGAAATATGCCAAAATATTCCATGGTTGGTTAATTGGAATGGTAGCATTATCGTGATTGTTTTTGTAGTTAATTTTTTAAAACTCTAGTATTTTTTTATCTATGTCAATCTCTTCTATAATGAGCATCTGATACTTTTATACAAAAAAGGGGGAAAAAACTTAAAAGTCCAATGTTTGCATGGGAAATAGATTTGGAATATATATATCAAAATGTTGAGCAGCTCCCTGGCACACTAGCTGATAAAATTTCAGATGCTTCTTCTTTTTCCATATGCTTTTTTCCTAAACGTTCAATAAAGATCAGAAAATTGGAAAGTAATTTTCAAACACAAGAACAAAAAAATAAGTAGTTTTTAAAATTAAGACTTTAAGACATAGAAGCTTCAGAATTTAAATGAGACCATTTTCCCTAAAAGGCTGAGATTCACACTGAAGACTGAACAGCACCAACACTCTTTTTTTTCCTGCCTGTCATTTAAAACTACCTCAAAAGACATCAACAGCCTGCAGCTGGAAAGTCAAACATAACATCTAAGAAACCAACCAGGAAATCCATAAAACCCATGGTAAATTTTGAGAGTAACCAGGACTGTGCATTTCAAGTACTCAGTACATGGCAGAAAATCAACGCTAATTTTCTCCACCCTTAGTCACTCACAGGTTCACGTGCTTTTTGACAATTTTCAAATCAGGTAGCCATACCCAGAATTTTAAAATATCTTGAGTATCTCCACTCAAAGGATCTTTTCCTCACTTGGGGAGACATGGTTAGAGATGAAGATGGGGAATTGCAGGTAAGGGGACCAGGGGCAGGGGATTTCTAAACAGATTATACACAGCCCCGTTCCTTTTCATGTGTGTGTTCTCTCATTCATTCAAATATTCACTGAGTCCGTGTATATCAGGTTTGTGCTGAGCCCAAGGAATAAAAGTTAGCAAAAATATGGGGCTTGATTCAGTTAGGGAAATTCCCTGCATATCCATAAATGTAAAATTATAACCTTGGGAAATGCTCCTGAAGAAGTTATTAACTAGGTCAGTTTATGTTTCAGAACAAAATTCCTAAACTAATAGGTTAATGAATAAGAGGTGTCCCTTTCTGTTAACACATTGAAAGATTTTGTTAATTAGCATTTCTTCTCCTTCAGAGTTCCCCTCTGGAGCCTTTTTACTGAAGGTACTAATTTCTCTTGCCTACAAACTCCTTCCTGATTGCTGTTCAGTTTCACTAATTCCATAATGCAGTTTGCAATCTTGTAGCTGCCTCTGAAGTTAATTACTAAAACTCAGAAACCTAATTGTCTTTCAATATCTTTCTAATAGACCATGAAACCAAATGGCACCATCACTCAAGACAGAATTATAATACATAGGTACCAGTGTCAGGATTTGAAGAAAATACCTAAAGAGCCAAATTACTGCCAAATGTAAGGCCAGCCTATAGATACTTTGAGAGTTTTAGCCCCACTCTCAACATCTGTGCCACGAATTGAAGGAACATGCAACACACGTTACAGGGGTCTGGGAAGCAGTTAAATTTGGCAGTAGCAAGAGGGTAATTCTGGCTGCAGACTGAAATGGGAAGAGACTTAAAGAACTAAGGGGATAGACAGATGGACGGAAAATGGGAATCTGAGAAGTGAAAAGAAACACAGAACTATTACCAAAAAAGAAAAAAAGAAAAAAAAAATCAACACACATACACACTCACACACACACACACACACACCCCCACCTCCCCCCAGATCACAGAAAACTGACAATCTAAGAAAATTTGGACAAAAAAAGAAGAGCTGAAGAGCAGAAAGACCTGAAGACTATGACTCAGAAAAAGAAGTTTAGGCTGCCCCCCAACCCAAGTAACAATCTGGTACCAATCCAGTGTCACCATGGTAAAGGCTCTTTGGGCACAAAAGAAACCTCCCGACTTTATTTCTTGCTCAGTTTAGGGCTGCAACACTGACTGCAGAGAAGAGCTAAGTGCCTGATCGAGCAGAATGAAAACAAGTGTAATACATTTAAAAGGACACCAAATTCAGCCTGATGAAGGAGTGATGGGACTGCATATGCCAGTACAGTAAAGATGAGAGTCCTGTTAAACTAGTTCTTCCAGTGAGAAAGATGCTCAGGAAGAAGCAGGGATATTCTGTGTAGCCAGCCAGAATATGACTAGAGTTTACTAGAATACTTGTTATATTTTAAATTTACTGGCAAAGAGATCTCTAAGATCTTTATCTTATACAGTCCCCCCCACCCCCCACCCCCCACCAAAAAGGCTAGTCATGACATTTCAACCTGAACTACTAAAACATAATAAAAAAAAATGCACAAACATACTGCATAAGATACCTGTATAACAGTATTTGGTATATTTATAAGAATCCAGAACCATAGGCTTTTTTAAATCTTGCAGTTATCAAAATCTTTTTTATTACTTTACATCTAACAATTTTAGGGAACAACCTACTTTGTTAATCTTCTTTCCACAGGCTAATTAATGCTAATACTCAGGAAGTTAGTCACCCTGTGAGAAACATAGATCAGTTTAACTAAGCTTTCTCTCCACCCTCATTTCTTAATAGTCTCCCCTTCATTCACTGGGTTCCAGCCTTGCTTCCTTTCTATTCTGGAATTACACTGTTATGAAAGCTTGTGATCTTCTGTAAGGAGAGGCTCTATATAATTTATCTATGTACTCCTAGGACCTAGCACTTAACAGAAACTCAATAAATATTCAAAATTATACATGGTGTTACAGCGCAGGTTCAGTCATAACAGAATGTCAATTGAGAATGTTATAAGTGAACAGATACATGCCTTTAATATAATTTATTAGAACATAATGGAACAATTAATAACTGCAGCCACATGTTGGTGGCTCACAAGACCAGACCAGGTGCTTGGCTCTCGTTACAGAACATTGCCGTAATAAGGTTTGTTTGAGTGCCACGAAATTCAGCACAACTGCTGACTACTCTCAAAACTAAAAAGGGATGGAAAGACGAGAATGAGAAAATCTTATCATTAGGCTTTTTAAAAACTTTTTAAAAACTTTATTATTTTTTAATGGAATTAACTGTAGAGAAAGAAGCTTGAATTACCAAGAACCACCACTTCCATCAAAATTTAGAGGGGAAACTAATAATTGATCACATAATATCACGATGACTCTTGCACCTTGGAAAAGCATTATTTATAAGTCTGATGTAACTAAGTGACTTACATTCTCAATGAACTGGGTATTAGACAGCATAAGGAAGTCATTGAAGACATTATGTAGGCGACAATCGGTGGCTTTAGTTTCCCGAATTAGTCCATCTACTTGTTTCTTGATTTCATGGGTCCTAGAGATAGTCTGCTGTGAAAATTCCTGTAGAAACTGTAGTAGCTATTTAAAAAATAAAGGTACAGAAGTATCAATGTTATATGCATTTATCCTTTTGGTCAAAACAAAAAACCCATTGCCTTTCACCCTTGTGCATGAATGCTGGAATGTACAAGGGATGCTGGTTTTGTCAGCACTAAGGCCAAGTGGCATTGAAAAACATTCAGAAAGCTTACCAAAACAGTGGCAAGTAGTCAATGGGCACTTGCTATTTCATTTCTGGAGGAATTTTTAAAGTCCTGTTTGGTTGTCATTCTACAGGGGTCACATACAAAGGATAAAATAACAAATCACTACTTTAAGAAAAAAAATCCTATTCTTATGCGACTTCGGAATCACAGCTCTGCGCTTCCTGGGCCACCTCCTGAAGAACCGCATTCAAGATTAACCACATACTGACTTATCCACGTCCCCACTAGTCCAGAGTCCTCATGGAGTCGCCTCACTAGTGCCACAGCAATCTGGCGGGGCAGGAGAAATCGATTTACCCGCTTCAGTAAGGAAAACCTGCGTCTGGGCCACAGTTGGAGGTGAAGCACTGCGGCCTAAGGCAGACAGGCCCGCCCTCTCCCTCGGTGGGCCCTGGGCACTGCCACGGTGGAGTTTTCGAGGGTGAGTAGGTATATGTGTTACTAAGAAGACAGGTGGCAGCGGAGAGCCTGGTGAAAGGCGAATCGGGGCTCCAGTCCTCCCGCTCTCAGGCCAAGCGTCAGCCCAGCCGGCCCACCCATCCCTCCCGTGCAATCCCTGGGGCCAGCCTCTCACGCCCGCGTCCGCTGCCAGCGACCAGCTCTGGCTGCCCCTGCGGATCTCCTCCACAGACCAGGGCCGCTCCCACACGGGCTCGGACACCGGCGCCCGTTCCTGGCCAGGGGTCGTTCGGTTCATCTGCAGGGGAGGAACAAGAAGAGAGGCTGACTTCGGGTAGGCCAATGCCCTCGGCCCCGCCGGGCCCTACCGCGGCTTGCCGCCCTCACCATCCCAGTGGTGCACTTCAGCAGAATCACCCACCGCGAGGACCGCACCAGCCCAGGCCCCCAGATCCCGGAAGCCGAGCCCCACCAACGTGTTCCGTACACGTGACCAAGTTTCACGTGACTAGACCGCACCGCACGTGACCGGCCCCACACGTGACTACACTGCAGCCCCTCCGGAAGGAAGATGCAGAGCCGCCCCTGGAGAATCAAAAAGTTTGTAGCCGGCAAGGGACGAGGAAGCTAGAGGAGGGTGGGTTGCCGACGCCAGGGGGCGCTAAAGGGCACGCGTACGCCTGCGTGCAGTTCAGCCGCAGGGCTCTGGTGGGTATCAGTTACTGGTTCCAAAAGGAGTTCGTGTGAAACAGCCGGACTTGGGGCTTTAGACGTCGGGGAAGTAAGCAGAGGGAGAGCTCCCCTTTGCCACGCTTGTTCCTTGCTGCTAGTTCGCTGCTTATTGCGGGGTTAGCGCAGAGGCGCTCAGCAAATGAGGACCGACCTATCTGGCAATTGTCATGTTGTGGTGCCATGCCGGGTTTTAACTCATTGTATAGGGCCTACTTAAAATTCTTTACTCCCTGGGTATTGCACTCAAATCAGGTTTAAATCCAGTCTAACCATATAACAGGCAAAAATCCTTTATAATCTGATACCTGCCAACAATCCATCTTCAACTCCACCCCCCCCCCCCCCCCCTCGCTCTACTAGTACTCAATGATCTGGCTATTCTATATCGCACTTATTCGAAGTTCCCTCTACTGAGACCCCTCCAGTGACAGACCAACTTACTTTTAAAAATAAAGATCGCGATAACTTTCATTCCTGTGTGCCTCAGGGTCAACAATTTAACCTCCTTGAGGTTTCTTCCGCAGTAAAAGTGGTGATATTTGTACAATATCTGGCATGCTGCCTGCCATATGGTGAACATTAAACTATTACTGAGACATTAAAAAAAGAAAGAAACCCTGCCATTTGCCATATCGTGAGCATCGAACAGTATTAACCATTAAAAACAACAAAAAAGAAATCCTACCGTTTGCAACAACATGGATAGACCTATTGGTACTATGCTAAGTGAAATAAGTCAGAGAGAAAGACAAATATATGTGAACAAATGGACAAACAAAATAAAATAGAAACAAGCTCACAGATGCAAAGAGCAAATTGATGATTGCCGAATGAGATAAGGTTGGGGTTTGGATGAAAAAGGTGAAGGGGATTAAGCAGTACCAATTACCAGTTATGAAATAAGTCACAGGAATGCAATATACAGCATAGGGAATGTAGTCAATACTGTATTAACTACATACAGTAACATGGATACTATGCTTATAGTGGTGGTCACTTCATAAGGTATATAAATGTCTCGTCACTATGTTGTACACCTGAAACTAATACAAAATTGTGTGTCAACTATAATTGACAAAAAAATTTTTTTAAACATAGATCTTACCACTTCTCCTATGCCCTTTATTTGTCCAATAAATATTTTTGACCTCTGTCACCTCAATGAAGTCTTCCCTGATTGTCCCAAGTATAGCTTAAGTGCCCCCTCAATGATTTTTATACATTTGTAAAAATATTAATCATGAAGTGTTGCATCGTATTATAATTTATTTATATATTTGTCTCCCCTTTAATAATAGCAAACATTTATGAAGTGCTCAGTGTTTACTAAATATTTTAATACATGTGAATTAATTTAATTCTCACAACTTCATGAAATAGGCACTATTATCCCTGGGTTATAGTTGAGAACACTGGGACATGGGGAGTATAAGTAATTTAGGATTAGAAAATCAGTAAAGAATCAGAGCCAGAAACCACACGATTAGCCACTTGGTTACACTCTAGCTAGACTTATACTGTCCTATACATGGTTGATTGCTTATGTCTATTACTAGATGAAAATTGTACTTCTTTTAATATAGAGGTCAGTGATACAGAGTCAGTCCCTGGACTTGTATCAAGATAAAGCTTTTTGGCCCTTAGCTGGTGTAGCTCAGTGGATTGAGTGCCAGCCTGTAAATCAAAAGGTTGCTGGTATAATCCTCAGTTGGGGCACATGCCTGGGTTGCCAGCTGGCTCCCCCATTAGGGGTGTGTGACTGCACATGGATGATTCCCTCTCTTTCTCCTTCCTTTCCCCTCTCTCTGAAAATAATAAAACCTTTAAAAAGGAAAAAAAGATATCGTCATTTGTGCTTTAGCTCATTTCAAAAGTTTAGTTTCACGTGGAGGGGGTATGTTAGCTTTGCTTCCTAGAGGCCCTTCAGCTCCATTTTAGATTGCTCTTTCAACAATGGTACCTCTATTTAGCTATTTTTTTGGTAACATTTCCTTCTTTTGACTGAAATTTTTCCTTAGAAAGCATCAATGTTTAATCACTAGGAAGCACCATTAAAAAAGCAACACTGTTCCCCCATTACTAGGATTCCCATTACATGGGAATATCACATCCCATGTAGGAGAGAAGGAAGTTTCTTGAGCATCAAAAACAGAACTAAGTCACATATTTCTCAGATAAAAATTTTTTTGTAGAGGTGATCTCAGTGGTCTAGCATTATTTGGATAGTGGCTGGTAGTTATTCGATGTACCTGGTAAGACACACAATTATGTATAATCACAAAAACCAATATGACTAAAGCCTGTACTATAGAATGAAGCCAGGTGTTTATTCCTGTAGCCAGTCAGCTAAATAACTCTGCCCAATCCCAATTTATAGGATAGTGTTTTGTCAATTCTAAGGTTTTAATATTTTGTTTCAGAACCTCAAGCTATTTTATCACTTTAACTGATTTGCTGACATAGAAGCAACATCTTTCTCCTAACAGGGCATCAATACCATCTCTTTGGGTAGCTAACACATCTAGAGCCCTATGGTTTTATAGTACTACTTTAGCCAGGCTGTCAATTATTCCTTGTTGTTAAGAGCAGTTGCAGTAGTGGTCCATTATTTTGCCACAAGAATAGATTTTTGACAACTTCCCAGCAGACATACACACAACTTTCTTTAGCAAGGTGCTAGAAACCTGCTTGTTCAAGAGAGGGTACCACTAACATTAGTTCAAAGCCTGGTACTGCAGACCCTTTTCACTCCTTAATATTCTTGCACCTGGTGAGTATTACGTGGTGGAAAAGACGGGGAGGTCATCCTCTTATGTGATAATTGGTAAATTACCTGTGCCCATGCAGTCCATTCCCTGAATGTCCAGCCAGTTTAGATTAGCAAATCTGCCATCTATGCAAAGGCAAGTACATTTAGAGGGGAAAAATTCATCCTTAATCAGACTCATTCAACAAATAATAAATAATTTCCTTGAAAATAAAATCAAAATTTACTAATAAGACTAAATTCCTTGTACCTCGCCCACCCAAAATCTCCCCCTAAGCCAACTCACATCTCTTACTTTACAATTCATCTCATCTCCTCTCCTCAGGGGCGATCTTAGCTATGAATTTGATGTTTAACCCTTTAGGGATATTTTCTAGGTGTTTACGTACATATGTCTATCTGTAAAATATGTATGTTTGTACACATATATATGGTATTGATTTATGTGGTTTTATACATAAAATCCAATTCTCTAACTTTCATTCTATATATTTTTTTTATTTTTTTTGTTCAAATATATTTGTCTCCATTTACCCACCACCACTTTCCCCTGTCCCCCTCCCCCATCTCCCTCCCTCAATCCTTCCCCACTTTGGCTTTGTCCATGAGTCCTTGCTATAAGTTCCTTGACTTGACTTTTCCCTTCCTTTTCCCCGCCCACCCCTCCCTTCTTCCCTCTTGACTCTGTGGGCTTTTTTCTTTTAGTGTTGCTGGTCAATGTCTACTCATATTATCATAAGTAAAACTAAATTACTCTTTTTTAAATTACTCTTTTTAACTGCAAAGTATTCCATGCTATGAAAATGCTATAATTTATCTAATCATTCTCCCATTGATGGACATTTAGATTATTTCTAATATCTCACTATCGCAAGAAATGCTGCTAGAATATGCTTGGTTGTACTTCCTTGTACACACATGCAAATTTTTGTTTTAATAGATATGTTTTTAAAAAGATTTTATTTATCTATTTTTAGAGAGGGGAAAGGAGAGAGGAGAAGAGAAACATCGATGTGTGGTTGCCTCTCACACACCCCCTACTGGGGACCTGCCCTGCAACCCAGGCATATGCACTAACTGGGAATCAAACCTTTGGTTCGCAGGCCAGCACTCAATCCACTGAGCCACACCAGCCAGGACATAGATATGTTAAATTGCTCTCCAACACCCAGTAGTAGAGCGTGAGGGTAACTGTTTTCCCAACTTCCTTACTAATACGTGCTATTATCAAAATTAAAAATACTTGCCAATCAGATCAGTAAAAATTGCATCTCCTTGCCATTTTACTAGAATTTCCTTGATAACTAGTGAGATTGGGCATGTTTTCTTATGTTCATCAGCAATTTTACATTTCCCTTAAGTGGCATTTTCATAGGAATTTCTCATTTTATATTCATTTAAATATTTCCCTAATGTACATTTATTATGAACAGTCATTTATTTGGGCTTAACCTTATTACCTTAGTGTTTTCCACTTATTATTGGTTCTTTTGTTTATTTTTCTCCCCCATCCCTGATTTCTTTTGGGTTAGTTGAATTTTTGTTCCATTTTTTCCCTTATTAGTTTGAAATATATACATTCCATTGTTATTTTTCTAAGGCTTACTCTTAATTTTTTAATTTTTTTATATCCATACATAAAACCTAAAAATTCTAAAGATAATCAGTATGTGTAGACGCTTTCTAAACAGGACAAGAAATTTTCACTTACCTCTGCTGTCTCTCTGCTGCACAACTCTTCTGTTGATATCATCTAGAATTTTAGTTCTAAGTTGTTATTTTAGACATTTTTGGCTATTAATACTAATTTGACCTTAAGCTGTAAGATTGGCTGATGACTTAATTACTTCATACTGCTTTTTCCTGTGGATGTCTTCAATTTTTTTCCTTGTAGGAGTACATCTTAAGTAGTTCTTTCAGAAAGAACTGTTGGTGGTAAATTTACACACTGAATGCTCAAAATATGACCTTGCTTCCCCC